ATATATATATATTATATATATATATTTTAACAGCGCAATGCGCTACATATTTATCTTTTTTATATTTTCAACTGAAGCTAATTTATATCCGATATTTTTCACCCACGATTTTCCATTTATGAAATCTAAAAGCGGACTTTTTATAAATCATATAAAATATTTTTTAATATATAAAAAGTATCCGCAGATTACAATCAAACAGGGTAGTAATTTTTTTGTGTCTCTCAAATATTTTTCCACTGATATAAATATACGTTCTAGATGCAATCAGTATGTGACGCCAATAGCATACTCTCTCCCTCTCTCTCTCTCTCTCTCTCTCTCTCTCTCTCTCTCTCTCTCTCTCTCTCGCTAAGAGCCAATTCTCTCTACCACCCTTAACGATATCATGCGATCGATATCCCGCTCTGAAGACACACCCGGAACACAATTCGCGACTGCAAGCTTACCAAGAGGTGGTGACTAACCGAAGACATTCTCAGATATCGGCGTTATCGCTGAAGGTAACGGTAAGAGATTGCAGAGGAAAGTTGCGCGCTGATATAAAGTGTCGCACTTATTTCATTTTCAACTCCTTTTCATTTTATTTCCTTTTCCCTCCGATAGATGTCGGTGTTGCATTTTTGCACAATTGCAAGATTGCAAAATTGAAACTGCTTTAACAGATATTATGATTCTTTTTCTAACAGAATGGGTTTCCTTTCATTTCACACATCCAATTAGCATTAGATAGAATTTTTCTAGTGAGAATAATCATTCAATTACTAAAAAAATGAAAATAATTAAAATATTCAAATATTTTTCTTATATTATTATTTCCTTATCTTCTTTAAATGAATTTTTATAATTTATATAAATTTGTCTTTCTTTTTTTATTTCTATACAGATTGCAACATGAATAGTTAACTGTATCCATAATAAAGTCTCACAATTCTTCGATGTTATAATGATAACGCGATGCTCATGACAAATATTATATTTTAATTGCTTTAGTGATATTTATCTGTGTGTTGGCTTTTTGCAAATTAACAGAAACATATTCAAGGGAATTTTTATATTGTTTTATAAATGATTTATTTGCTGCGAATATAAAGGTAATATTATATTAATTGGTTTTCTAGTAAACAATATAATTAACGTGATTAATAATATCATTTTATCGTTTTCTACTGATATTTTGGCATTTTGTAATAAAATTTTAACGATAAAACTAACTTAAATAATTTAATTAATTTGTTTTAATTATTATAAAAATTATGCTTTATGTTATTTGGAAGAAACGTGATTACTGGAAATATAATAATATTGATACATTTATAATATAATTATAAAGGATCAGAAAATAAAATAGTAATCTCTTACATATATAATTTTAATGTAAAACTAAAATATATATTTTAATATTTTCTTATAAAGATAGAAATGGTACTCAAATAATAATTGATAGTAAATTATATAATGTTAGATTAACGAGAAATAAAAATTGCTTGAAAAAGCAGCTTAAGCGATTCTTTTATATAATTGATTTTCACTTGTACTTGCTTGTTGACTCTAACAATAAGTGTATAAACCAATCATTAAATCTTACTGATAATAAGCTATTTTTTTCTGTCGAATATTATTGTTCTTTATAATTCTCCTTATCTATTTGAAAAATATTAAATTTATATTGAGTAATTATCTGTCTCTCCTTTATTTTATTTTTGAAATAATCATGATGTGCACAATTTATAAAGTATTGTGAGAAAGACATGATAATGTGAGTTTCAGAATGAGAACTTTAGAATAAAGAAATATCGAATTGACAGGTAGTATGATAGCTTCAAAGAAAACGAAGCCACGTATGCAATATCTGTTTTCTGAATAGAATTACACGAATGACGAGTATGCATTAAAAATTAATTAGTTTTAATTCTTAGTTTGAGTTTAAAAAATTATTGCGTTGTTTAGTGAAGTATTATTTAGATTTAATATATTGTTTCAATTTGCTATCACTGTCATTCATCGCTCAATTACAATTATTCATTGCGATTTTTTTTTCCTTTTAAATCCAGCGAGAATAAAGAGAATCAACAGATTAATGAAAAATCATTCCACCGCCGTAATAGCGTTAGTCGACATTGCGATAAATCGAATTTCATATTTGAATAATCAAGTATCGGAATATCGACAGGCGTACATGACAATATGTGGATATTTTAAGAATGAAAAGTTCTAACTGTCTACCACCAATTATGTGACGAACAATGGTATTATTATTCCACATCTTTAAATAATCCAAATTATGAATTAATTCCAATATATTTTTGTTACATTATTATAGCAATTATTCTTAAAAGACAATAACTGTGCAATTCCAATGAAGCGTCAATGAATAAAAAGCTTTGAGAGAAGCCTTCCTCTATAATATCAGCAAATTATTCCATTATATTTGTGCTTACATAAAATATCGTTGAGTGACTCATCATTATAAGATAAAAGATTTATCGTATCGCTGATATATAAAAAGCTTTAATTTCAATATTTTATATAACTACAAAAAAAAATAGTTAACGAGGAATATCAGGATATTATTATTACAGAATTGGATTTTAATAATTATTAAAGTCCCGAATCATCTGTGAGCTTCCCAAACTGTCATCTTTCGGAGTGTCAGCCACGTGTCCCGTGTCTGCCTCCGATTATCCAGCGTCGCGGCGCGAAGCCCCGGCTGCGCCAGCGCACGCGATCGATACCCCAGACCGCCGGGGTTTTCGTCTGTCCGCGTGACGTCATGGTATGCGAGCCGAGCCAAGACGATACGGACCGTAGTCTACCGAGGGTAATCGAGGTGGTGCGAGTTGCGTTAAGAGTGAGCTGTTGTTTCGACGTAGTGACCGCTACGTCGACCTCGAACGTGCGGCGCGAAAATTTTCCCGGTTACCGCGAGTCGTGTCCGTGACAGGTGAAATCTTCGTCCTCGCGAGAGAGTCTCGTTTAAATTCTGATCGCGAACGTCGCGACATCCGCGTGCGAAAGTGATAAGCTCCGAGTGGTGCTCCAGTCTCCCTAAAAAAAACGTCGAGGGAAATTATGTTCGTCGCAGAAAAGTCTCGTAAGTTTCGAAAATATGTATGGGAAAGTTAAAATTACCGATGACAATCGTTTGAGAACGTCGATGAGGAAGAGAAGCGCACAAGGTCGCCATGACCTCCGAAATTTAGCGGTCATCATCGTGAAATTGGTCCAGATCCCCCGTAGAAAAGCACAATGATAAGACCACATGCTGATGTAAACCGCGATTGTAGACTGTTGTATCGCGTTAACATTCGTCTGACCATTTGCCGGCGCTTTCCACTGACACATAGCACGATGATTTCCCGGTGCACGCAGTGGAGAGTGGACGGAAGTAGCGCGCCGCGCTCGTCTGATCACAGGCAAGCTGCAACCCCTTCTTCGGATCGCGGCCCAGCTGAGCTCGACCGGGCGCGACCTACAGCCCTACATTCGCGGTCTGCGGCGTGACCTAACTTTACCCCACCTTAAGCGAGCTCCGTCACCACCCTCTCTATTCCGTGAACCGTGACAGGATCTTACGCATCGGATTCTCCTCTTAGTCACGTATACTCTTACGCAAATTAATAGTTTATCAATGGCCTATTTTAGCTCATTTTCCTTCGTTAATTTTGTAGTTTAATAGTATTTTTATTATTAGATTCTTACATTATTATTATTATATTTTATCTCTATAATAATATTATTTTTAAGATAATTGTTCAAATAATTTTTTGTTGCTTATAAATTTTTGTTTAATATTCCTAAATTTTTTTTAAAAACCGTTTGCTTTGAAATGACATAATTATGCATACTTATATTGTTTTTCTCCTTATTTCTGCAATTGTAAATATTCGTAGAGGACAAAAGTGTTCAATTTAACTGTTGGCGATGTAATGACCCGAAAAGTTATTAATATCGTATATTCGAAGAATTATGTACCTGACCTTGGCAAAGAGAAATCAATCATTCACATATAACGACAGTCTAAGGACAACGCCTTCCAATGATAATGCTATTAATTAATGAACAAATGATTTGATAGCACTAGGTCAACCTCGTTATCGTGGTAACGATCGTCATAATGATAATGCTGCTGAATACGAGAACTTTATGAGAACGTCTACTTTAATATTCGCCTGACTATCGCTGTTCTGGAAGATGCAACTTCCGCATTAAGAGATCAGTAAAGCGTTATTTCTTCGATCGATAGATAATTGCAATTTTCCTTGACTTTTAGAGCTTGTCGTAAAATTATATTTACACAATTATCGGAACGTTTTACGTCTCTCGAATATAATGATATCGGATACATATTTTCGATATTTTCGATGAAATGTACAGCTTCGTAGAAAGAAACGAGATAATTTCGTTAAAAGTCTCAATAAGATAATGAATAAGATAATAATCATTCGTATTACATGAATGCTCGTTTCGCTCGAATAAATTCAGAGCACAGTGAGTGATATTTCCGTTTCCAATACTGTTGTGATACCACGGTGATATCGCAAGTCACGAAGTAAACAAAGTTTCGCGAGTAAACAGACCGGGCAAAAGAAAAGGAAGCAAAGATTGTGTAAACAGTACACAACGGCTGAATACGAAGAAAAGAGCACGTTCCGCGTTCGCGAAATATTTCTTGATTCGATAAGTAGAGTTATCTGCATTGTATGTTACATAATAATAATAATAATATAAAATTAAATTTATTATAAGCGAAAACAATAAAGAGTTACGATATTGTGCGACTTTTTCAAGTGCGTATACAAATAACATTGAAGAATGATAGATCATTGCAATATATAGAATCCAATACATTACTGATTGTTAACGATAATACATTCGACACACGTATCACTAATCGCAAACAATCGAGGGGACACCCCCATCATGTGCGTTGAAGTATTATTTATGTGTTGCAGTCCTATTTAAATAATTGAATAATTTGTAGCTAAATTAATGGAATACCATCAATTTTCTGCTTGTTTAAACAACAATGACGGAATGAAACTGAATAATTTCTGTTAATTAAAGCCACAAGTAATGAATAATTTCTCTATTTCGGCAAAACTATATAATTAGAGATAGGACATTATTTAAATATGTAGTGCTTGCGGTGATTATAAAAAAATCAAGTAAAATTATTTGTAGTGCCAGTAGAGAAGTAAAGAATTGACTAAATTATGATATTAATTACTATAGAGATATATTATTATATGAAAATGATTAAATTATACTTTATTTGGAATATAGATCTATTTACTTAAAAATAAATATACATAAAAGTAAATATAAATTGCTTATTCCCTGATTTTAGTAGATATCTATACTTCGTTAGAAAGAATTAAATTATATCAATATCTCTATTTAACTCGATATTTTAGAGAAAAAACGACATGAATCAAGCTACTTCACTCTTTATAAACCAGCAACTTCGTAGAAAGTACAGTCTACTTATTGTGTCTATAATTGATTCTAAAGAGAAAAAAAACGAGTTGTTTTTATGAATTCATGTCTTATTCATTAAAATGCCGTTAAAAAGTGCTATTAAAATTATTTGAATTTTTCTGCAAATTCATGTTCACTGAATTCGAAAAAAATCTGTTTCCTTAATTAAACATTATTCATTGAAAAAGAAACAAAGTGATAAGCATGTTTTCTTCTGCAGTTTTTTTTATCCAATTTCGTTAGAAATAATTATATAGTAACGTGTTAATTATCTGATAATAAAAAGTAATGAATAATAGTGTAGCTATTGTAATTTTTCAGTGTCATTAACATGTATATTAATATGTAATTTGCATTATCATTTAGAAAATTAAAAAAGGGTAATATGAAAAATCTATAATTGCACGTGTTCGCATATCTAACTAGCAAAATGTTAAAATTGCATTTAAGAAATTTTTCTTAGTTCATCAAATAAGTTTATCAGTGGTACAACATTTCGATATTCCTAGCTATTTAAAGATCCAGATTTAGAAGTAGATAAACACAAACGAACACGATTGAACAATTTACTTTTTAAATAAGTGCAAATTGCAGTTTATTCATCTTCGCTTTCACTTGTTTACTTGACCGAGATTAATGTTTTACAGTTCACATATATACATTGTTTTGTCCATGTTCTGTCTAGTAAGAGAGTGTAATTAGTATATAATTATAAAACTGTTTTAATAAAAATGATACAATAAAATACAATAAAATGTATACAATAAAATTATATATAAAAAATATACAGTACTTAATTAATATAGATGCGTGGTTCCATTGAATCGGTATTTGATCTCAATCTTTACACATATCTTCTCACATATGTGTCTTGCTCTATAAGAAACTGATTGAAAAGAGAATAATAAACGATTTATTAAAATCATATATGTAAATACACTATCTTAATGAAAGTTTTGTTTCTCTTGTTAGTTCGCAGGTAGTAATTTCATCAACTCTACCACGCGCACATCTTACTTCCCTAAAATCAGTTAACAACACAGACATCAGGAAGAGAGAAAACAAATTGTGAATAAGTAAGAATCGGATCGTAACAGCTCCAGGAAGGATAGCTTTTGATTGTGATGTGGTGGAGCCCCCCGGCGGGCCGCGGGGGCAGGAGGTCAGAGGTAGATCGGTTGTGAGGTCAACAAGCACGGCTCGATTGTCCCGGGGTGAAATCGCTGGTAGAGCGGAGGAGGAGATAGAATGGTGTGACCTCCGGCGTCATCCCGCCCGACGCGGAGGTGGTGCTGGAGGTGGTGGAGGTGGCGGTGGAGTCGAGCAGCTGCTCGACTCAGAGGAGGAAGAGCCAACGGCGATGTCGAGGCAGCTTCGTGGAGACCGTGACCACGTGAGCCGCGACTATCAAGAAGGTTACCACACTGATTATCGGGATCTGCGCGAACATCTCAGGGATTTCAGGGACTTCCATCGAGACACCCTCGACGAAAGGGACGGTCAGGGACCCACCGCTAGTAGAACATATCGGGACGACTATTCGGAAGAATATGATCATCGTTCTACCGCTGTTGTATCCACCTCGGCGAATCTTACCAACAATCCGGTGAGTCGCATCTTCCTTTCATAGGACAATAGATCAGTTACTCTTTTAATAAAGTATGTGTTCCGTTTTGCGCTTGTAAGCATCATTTATCTTTGTTTAATATTTGATAGATAATAAGGATGAGCTGATGCTTACAACGTGAGAGTGAAAACAGAATGCACCCAAAGTATTATATATCAATATTACTTTTTAAAATAGCATGACTTTGTCTGTAATGAGATTTATAATGTAAGATATCTAATATACTTATATTTTAAACTAAAGCTTTAAAAAGAAATAGTACATATCAAGACTGAAATTACATATTAGGTGTAGTAAAAGGAAAGCCATTATTTTTTCATTCAATTTCATGCAAAAATAATGGATTTCTTTTTACTACATCTAATATAAATTTATTATTTTAAACAATAGGAAAATATTAATATTAGACTTTTATATTTTTTAGATATCAATACATGTTAAACTCTTTTAATAACGTAATTATTGAAATGTTTTTAGTACATATTTTCAAATAAGTATAATTTTTGAATAAACACATGTAATATGCTTTCTTTGATGGATGTTAAATTACTGTTCAGCTATGATTATACACTGATTACTTGCAAAATTGAAGCATAAGTAATTTTGTATTTAATATTAAATATTAAAAAGAATAATTTGCACAAAGTAAGCAACATAAGTTCAAGACTTCAAGATAATTATGACATGCCTTGTCATCAGCAAAATAGAGCGTTGCGCAACGTGATAACGGCTGTCTCTACTTTTCCTCCACTCTTTCTCAGCGGCATTATATTTTGCAACTGCACCATTGTAAAAGGAAAACGCGATTGTTTGTATTAAAAACTCTCTTCCGCGAGATCATTTTAAACTCGACAGCTATTTGTTTAGCTTTATCCTCCCTTTTCGCTCGCGTTACTAGAAATGAGGATTAGTTGCGAACTTGGATCAACAAGAGTTTCAAATCTTATCGAAATTTATTATAGGCAGTTTCCATCTTACATATTGGTTTCTCTGTACGATAATATACTGTCTCCTTCTCTCGCTTAATATCTATTTAGTGATGAAGAATTTGACACAAGGGATATTTCACGATATCAGAATATTTATACGAGATTTTTTTTTGCAAAATACGATATTTATAATATTTCTATTAACTTTTTCTATACATTTGTTGATATTGTACATAACAAATAAAATATTATATTTTATATAGTCAAAAAGTAGAACTGAATTTGCAAGTTACGTTGAATTTTTCACAAGTATTTTAAAATATCTTTGAACTTGTCCCAGGGACAAGAAAACTGGAAATTACGATTTTAATTAATATTAATGCTGTAATAATATTACGCCTATATCACATAGGATATATTTATCTCATTTTTAATTGGCGATTATTTAGTTGAATAAGAAGATTTATTCGATAGAGTTAATATTACATTACAAATCGCTAATAATAAATTAGTGAGAAAAGCAGTTAATCGTTAGACTGGGATTCTCTGGTATTCTCGTTAATGGATAAACCGCCGTAGTAGTCACCCCATAATGTGCGTATATCATATTGCACAACATTACGCTTCGTTCGGATATGCTCTCAGCACTCCTATCTTACATATTGAAACTTTATATCTTTCTATACGGAGATATGACTACAACAGTATGTTCCGTGTTTTCTTATCGAGTAATAAATTCAAATTAATGTAACCATTGATTAATATCGTTACGATCTGCACTAACTATTTATTGCAGACTACGTCTATATACTGCTACCACGTGCGCGTGCATATTAATTCTGGAATTCCATATAATCGTGCCATGACTCGCTTCATCGCAAAGAAACATGTGCTCGTTGATATTGCTATCGCGACTTTTATGTATTTCGATCGAGATTGCTTTATGTGTGATCGGACAATAAAATCAGAACTACTCTATTTTATTCCCGGGTAGCGCTCTGTAAACTAGCTTTACTTTTTAATATATATAAAACAGGATGTATACATTTGATTCTTTCCACATTTATTTTAATAAATATAATTGTAAAATGAAGTCATTTTTCAGTAATATTCTCAAATTACTATAATGATATATTGAATACATAAGAAAAGAAGCTTTATTACAAATTGTATAAACCCAAAAATAATGCTTAAGAAATGATAAAGAACATAATTACATTAATAAAGCTTCTTTGTTGTTCTTATGTTATATGAGATTTCGACTATATGAAAAAATGTTTTCAAGGCATAAAACACAAGCATTATTTATAGTGAATTACTAGTCGCATTGAATAAAATTTGTATTAATTTATATTATTTTATATTATATATAGTTTTTATAAAAGATCAGATTAAGTCTAAGTACCACTTAGATAAGTTTATCGTAAGATATCTCGAAGGATATATTATTCTTCATAACTACTATTTCTCTGTTCGATAGTTGGTGGATCACTTAGTTGTAAACAATCTTGTTTGCGCAGAGCCAGCTTCTGTACGAAGTTTCCTTTAAACTTGAAAGGAGGTCAAGCGTGTTACAGGACGAAACGAGAGTGTGTACAGCACAAGATGAGAGTGAGAGACTGTGATATCAAGGGTGAGAGATCGACTTCTTTGATGACAGTAGTCGCTCTCTTTGACTCCCCGGTAATCGGTGTCGGTACTCTTCATTTAGCGCTCTTATATCTTTCATGGCGGGGCATCTTCGACATCACATTCGCAGAATTCTCTCATTTATAGCTGTATTCATCGTGACGCTCTTCCCTGCTGTTCGCTTCTCGAGGGTCAGACTCGCTAATGAGAGGGATGGAAAACCTTGCATAGCCCGAGGGTGAGATAGCGGGGATGACAAGGTGGAAAATGGAATCTGCTCTCTCGGAGGACGCTTTTTCACTGAGCGTGTATGACGCACGACTCGCAAAACTGGGCCACTCTGTCTCTTACGACAACGACTCCGATGTATTAGTTTGCTTGAGTATAATGCAATATAAATCTTAAATGCTATTCGAGTTTTTGCAGATGTACAAATATGATAAATGTTCTTTATATAGATCTGATATCTTATCTAAGTATCTATATTGTGCCATAATAGTATACATATATAGATATAGATATCTATATTGTAACATAATTACATATCGATTTTACTTCTTGTTTTTTTATTAAGAAATTAAATTTAGTTTGTGTATGAGTATCAAAACCATTTCTATTTGAGCAATGGTGCTTCATTGCATTGATTAATTTCTTCGTGGTTAGCGAAACGAGTCATCACGTTGAATCTAATGTTCGCAATTACACTGATATATATCTTCGTATAATCGTACTATTGCACACCCATTCACGTGGATAATTCGACTATCGCGAGAATTCGACTTTCGCGTCGTCCGATTTGTCGAAGTCAGATCAAGAATGTAGGGCGATTTGATTTCTCTCAGGCTCTCTAATGTTAATAAGTTTTTACTGACAGATCTTATATCTCGAGTTATATCTATTCCGAATGTACGTTACCTTCAAGGATCGAAAGTGTAGTTATGAAATTGATTTATTTCTTAAGATCGATTAATTGAAGCTACAGAATTAAATTTTAATTATTAAACAAATCGCGCTCCTTTATTGTTCTTATTGTTGTTGTTATTATTATTATTTTCTTTTTTTTTGTGAAAGTCAATCTTTCTCACAACATTGTAACGCCCAATACTGTTAGATATAAAAGAAACAATAGTAATCCAATCTTTTGAATTATAATAAATAACATTTTGTTATTTTAAGCCTCCATGTGTGTCAAAATGTAAATTAATCTATTTCTGCAGTTAATTTTAAAATAAACAAGTTTGTATTAACATATCCACTTGGTAAATCATAAACTAAATTTGAATAAAGTTTAACATAATTTGTAAAATTGTTAAACTCCATTGTTTTATTAACAATGTACAAAGTTAAATTAACATATTGAGTTGAAGCAGTGGCAACCTACAGAAATGATTAAAAATAATTCAAATTGGGTATAATTTGACATTATGAATTTTTAATAGTGAATATTTGATATTTTTATTCAGAAATAATACTATTCGAAGTGAACATAAATGTTCATAAAGTATTCTTCATCTACAAATAATGTTTCGCAAATGTATACAGAAAATTCTCCACACGAATATGTATAATGTCTGAAGTCCATTCGCCTTGAATATTTTATTAAGATGTTAAGCTGCATCAGCTTGTGAACTTGTCGAACTGTAATTATAATCGTTATAATACCTCTCGCTCGCGATCATCCGTGTCGGATTTGAGGAGTCGTTCTTTTAATCAATATTGTTAGGTAACATGTACGGGCGTGTTCGCATTCATCATGCGCATTTATCATTACACCGTTCACTCACACCGATTGCGCATTCAGGAATCTTATACGTTTCGTTATAATTGTCTGTAATTATGCAAATACCGTTCACATGCATTACATTCTTAACTATGTAGTTACTGCATATGATACGATAATCGTGTATAGCCTCGAACGGAATTGCGGGCAAATATTAACGACTGATTATTGCTTGTAATCGAATCTATTGACTCGGTCTTTTTCCATGATTATTTGCGTTTTAATACGCTAGAATTGATAAGCCTATTATTTGAGAATGAAAATTGTATCGTCCGGAAAAGAATTAGAGCTTATAATGTCGGAAAATCATATCGTTGAGAATAATTATGCCATCTTATTATGTTTTCAAAATTCTCCACGACTATCGTCAATATGTATTTACGTGTGCGGATGTGCCAGTGTGTGACTATATGCGTCATATGTGCTGCACTGCAGCGAATGGAAATCGAATCGATGACCCTTCCCTCTGATACTGTCACTTACCTAAAAAGTTATAAAGCTAATATGTATCTATTATACTTGACATTTCTGTATGTAAATAACAAACTAAAAACTTTTTAATAATATCAAATAAGACATTTGAAGAAAAGAAGGTCATTTAAGATATATGTTAAATAAAAGAAAATAAGAGCTTATTTAAGAAATATATGTATATTTTATATATTTATGCTGCAAGATATTGTGTATAGTATTACCTACCTCAAAAATCTCGTTATTATGCAAGAATTCAGATAAATATCAAAACAAGAAATGTGATCACACGTTTATAACAAAATTAGCACACTTTGCAAAGTTTTAAATATATCAATATACAGCCACAATGTCTGTATTAATTGAAATTAAAAACACATTTATTTGTTATTTATTTATTTATTAAATACATATCCATGTTAGATTATATAATTTGACCATAAGAGCATAAAACTGGATTGAGAAGCGAACGTTGAGGAAATCTGCAATGGAAATTTTCGATTGACGTAAGGTTGCGTTAGCATTAACATCTAATTGCTGCAATGCGCGCACGTGTAACTTGAAAGTAGAACGTTGTTACTCGCTACTACACGCAATTAATATCTCTCGATCTGCATGCGAAAAAGCAAATTATTATTCCAGTAATAGCTTCACTACCTCGAAACATGTATATGCATGTTGGAAATTTTAAAGGACCACCCACGCTTAAGTTTCTTTGGCAGAAAACGTATAATCTAATCATTTATTCCTGTAAATTTATAAGATAATAATACGTGACATGCGGTATAGCAAATTCATTTTCACGTTTGTCATAAAGGAAAAACAAATAAGAGAATAAAAGTAAAATAACATTGCCCAAATACATTAGATAGTAATTTACTCTTTCGATAAAAAACAAATATTCTCTATAAAAAAAGTACTATACAATCTGTCATAAAATTCGTCACGAAGATAATTACATTTATTATTGCTCTGGTGACAATTTTGTGATTATTTATTTATTATTCATTCTTGGCATTCCAAGAATGGATCTGGACACGAAGAAAACCCATGAAACGCATAATTTTTATATTTATTTATAAGTTTAATAATTCAGAGAATCATTATATAATTACAAATATCTGTACTTATGTTTTTATAAAAAAAAGTAAATATTTTTACAAAAAAAATATACTTAAAAACTCTAAAAAACATGTATTGAAACTCGTAATAAATACATACATATATATCTGTCTAAAAAACACCGTTGACTAGTGCGAATCAATGCAGAAACAGATAAAAGATGGTCTTTCATCGTCTTGCAAAGAAGTTCTTCAAGGTAGTAGATCTCTGTAGCAATTTCAAGTCTGCGGACCCGGTTCTAATGAATATAGGTCAGTATACAAACCGGCAAGAGCAAAAGATCTGAATTTTTGCCTGTGAGCGCGTCTTGATCCCTGAACCGAGTCTGCTTCAGCAATCAGGGCTGCTAAACGGCCAAACGGGTTTGCGCAGACGTTCTCTTCCTTCCTTTCTTCCTTCTTTCCGTACCTTCTTCGTTGTCTTTTACCGAGAAAAGATTCCACCAACCACGTCTCTTAGACCGAGTCGAAATTATTGTTAATAGACTGCTGTCAGTGTATTGCAAGGATATCAACTTACGCCCTTGGCTATCTGCGAAACCTAAGGATACCATTTAATATATGGTACCTTAATGTCTTTAGTAATTAAATACTTATTGTTCTAAATTGTGTTCGTGTGTTTTTTATTTTAAATAGTAGGATTGTCTTATGACCGACAGAGAATTAAAAAGATTAACTTATGAATTTAGCACAAGTTTTATTATGTGTCTGCCATTTTCTTTCAAGATGTTTTTTACATTAAATTTATTATTTATTGTAGATGTCTACGATATTAACTTTAAATATTTTCTGTGAATATCTAGATAATCTCGGTATCTAGGTATAAACATAGAAAAGAATACACATATATTAAAAACAGGTTTTTATCTTGTAAGGAGTCTAGTTTTAATATGTATATTTATGGCACATATCCAAAATACCAATATCTCGTATTTCATTAAATAACATGAGGCAATCCATACTATTAAGGTGCGACGTGGCATCTGAGTACTTGTTGGCGGATAGCCAATAAGGACAAAGCCAGGACTCATGTATGAATATATCGGTCTTCGATCGTCTTTCGTTCTGTGACCATGAGTTTTGATTTCGAATTCGCAGTTGTATTCTGATCCAATACTTTGAATGCGTGATGCACCTGCTAAAGCGGAACGTCTTCCGTTTTAAATGCCTTATGAAGACAAGTAAAAAATAATGGCTACAAGTCGTAGACATAATACGATTATTTATTATCACATACATTTAATACTATGAAACGTTTAAATAGTTTTAGTCTTTTTTCGAAATACTTGCATAGGAATACATGTATGATGTTTCATTAAACTTAAGAACACGTGCTCGTTAACGGGGCCAATTAAAGCAAGATATAAGATCTTTTCTATTCCAGATCTCGAATTCTCTCCAAGTAACTCTTTTTATCGTTCTATCCACTTTTACGTATGATTTAATTGACGACTTGCTTGCGCTTATAGATTCCGGGATTACCAGTGTGTAAATGATGAGAAAGTGCGTATCACTTTACAAGTCGACTTGTATAAATTCCATTAAGAAATATTTCTAATTTAATCCTTCATGCTTTCGATATGGCAAAGTACTTTAGCGTTTTTAATAAATAGAATTGATTAAG